CTGCAAGGCCGAACTCTTTCGCACTATCTGATTGAAGGAGCATACACTCTCGCTGATACTCTTCTGTGTAAGAACGAGCTGAAGTGCTGGAAGAGGCCGTTGAAACATTTTTGCAGAATTTCTTAGCAAACGTGAACGTCGCGTGACCGCAACCTACAAAATGTGGCTCTTGACGTTTTGGTTTATGTGAAAGCGTGAGAGTTGCGCTTTCAAGACGTTGCCATGTTTCTACAGTAAATCAAAGTTGTGCGTGAATGTGAAAGGGCTAACAGTTTTCTCTCACTGTTGTCAAAGGAACAGAGCTGTGAATGAATTAGTTACGTGTCTGTTTCACCTTTTCTGAGACCGTGTTCTCTCTCGTTCCCCGGTCTTTTGTGCACAGTGCTGGGGTTTGACAGAGTGCCGTGGTGGGGTACGCTGTGCATTTCTCTGGGCTGCGCTGCCGTCACAGCCTTGTTCGTTTGGTTTGTCGTCTGTCCCCGCCTCAGGAAGAAAATCCAAGGTGAGTAAATCTGACTTTAGACTTTCAGACTATACTTTTGTAAATATGCTGACAAAAATATGCGACTTATGTATTAAAATTCTATTTATTTCTGCACTGGCATCACTGCTTTCTCTTGCGTTAAAAATCTGAGTGCTTCTTTCATCCAGCACAAAAAGCTGCTGCTCCCTGTGCAGCTCCGCTCATGGAGAGGAACTCCAGCAAACCCGTGCAACCACAGCAGTCCCCAGTATCCCATGCACCCCGACCACAGAGCCCTCCAGCAGACAGTCAGAAGGTGGCTTTTAAACTGGGAGGGTCAGATGAGACGGATTTAGACAGCATAGATGCAGAAACCAAAGACCTGGACATCGCCAACGGTAATGACTTGAATCTGCACTCTAAATAGAGTATAACCAGAAGAAACTCCAACAGCTGAATTACATTTAACTATTTATTTTCACAGGTCTGAATGGGACCGTAGGCCCCATGGTGATCACTGATCCTCACAGTGGTCGGTCCCACACAATCCACAAAGACTCTGGCCTTTACAAGGACCTGCTGCACAAGCTCCACATGGCCAAGGTTGGCGAATGTATTGGTGACAGCGACACAGAAGAGCGGCCCATCCGGAGGAACAACAGCTACACCTCCTACACCATGGCTATTTACGGAATTCAAGGAGATGTCAGGTATAAAGACGGGGACGGTGGGCTGCAGAGGAGACCGAGAGTGGACAGTTACAGCAGCTACAGCTCAGCAGTGTCCAACAGGAGTGCAGCTCTGGACGAGAATGTGGCCCAAGAAGCTGGCACCGACCTTGCTGGCACGGACCAGGAAGAGGATGAGCTGGAAGTCGACCAGCCTGCCGTTTCCTCGCTTTTCCAGTTCCTGCAGATACTCACTGCGTGCTTTGGCTCTTTTGCTCATGGAGGGAATGATGTCAGGTAGGCAAGGAGGTTTGTTTTTTCTGAAGAATTCATATACGTTGGTTTGTTCAGATGGCTTACAGAAACCTTTTTTTCGCATTAGCAATGCTATTGGCCCACTGGTGGCTCTCTGGCTTCTGTATGAGAGTGGCTCCGTCTTGTCAAGTGCACCGACACCTATCTGGCTGCTTCTTTACGGTGGAGCCGGCATCTGCATTGGACTCTGGGTGTGGGGTCGGAGGGTGATCCAGACCATGGGCAAAGATCTCACCCCTATTACACCGTCGAGGTATGCGGCTGACAAATAAAATCCTTATTTGTGTTAAATGTCGAAGCATACTGACATTTCCTTCTCTTCTAGTGGATTCAGCATCGAGCTGGCCTCAGCAATCACGGTTGTGGTGGCATCCAATATTGGCCTTCCTGTCAGCACAACCCACTGCAAGGTAATGCAACTAAAGGGACTGTCTTTACTACAAAGAGACGCATACGTTAGAGATAAGCTAAGCTTTCTGCACAAGTAACGTACACGGTGGCGCATGACCTGATGAGCTGTTAAATTATGTGCACACAGGTGGGATCCGTGGTGGCCGTGGGATGGTTACGTTCCCGGAAGTCAGTCGACTGGCGTTTGTTCAGGAATATCTTCATAGCCTGGTTTGTTACTGTTCCGATCTCTGGGCTGATCAGCGCTGCAATCATGGCTCTCTTCATCTATGTTATCCTCTGAGGCCAGCACTGTCCAGCGACACTCCTGCTTGAGTTGATGGACTGCGGCCAACAAGTTGTTTGACTCTGATAAATCCTACGCCAATAAAAATGTCCTGTTTGTTCTCCATTTGCTAATGATTTATATTATATCATTAAGTCAAGGCAATTATTTTATCTCCCATGGTCGCGTCCTTGAATTATGTAGATCCTAATAACACTCTTCAGTTATTCGAAAGACTGTGATCTTGTATATCCTTTTGTATATTTGTATAGAAGCAATGTTTTCATCAGATGATTCCCTTTTGACTGAAAAAGAACGAGCAGCAGTTGTATGTTTGGATATTTGGATACAGTAAAATATGGAGTTGCTTGATTTGATGATATTTCAGTGTATTTTACTCACCATTAAAGATTTTCTTTTACAGATTTTCTTTTTTTTTCTCTGAGTTTTAATGTGGGAGGGATGGATTATTAAAAGCAACAAAACATCATCATGAATTTGATCGGAAAACTGTTCATTGAAAAATGAACATTAGAGTTTTCACTAAGGTGGACGTTATAGTGAACCATCGACACTAATAGTGTCAGCGGTAGTGCATCTGATTCTCCTCAATGTTTTGGTGCTATTTCTGCAAAATCCACGAGGTGGCAGTGCTGCAGCGGCCTCTTTTACACACACACTGACTCCTCCATACAGGAAGAACCTTTAAATGCACAATACTGTGCAAAGGTCTTCATGTCTTTGTATTCTGCTTCCAAGAAGCCAAATTTTCTTGTAGTTTTTTTTTTTCAAGTCTGGTACCTGAAAAGACTTGACTGAAACAGAAATTTTTCAGAAGAATCTTTTTTTTGGTTGTTTAAGCCACTTAACACAGAACCATGAATCATTCAAACATTAAAATGCAACTAATTAATGAGATGAACCAGTTTTGTGTCTGCACATAACTGACGACTTGGTAATGAACCGAATTTAATGTGTGTCCTTAGACATTTTGCTATTAGCAGCCTGACAGAGAACTACATTATCTTTGAATCTATGAAAATGGGAAGAGTGGCTATCAAGAAGCCACTCTTAAGGAAGGGAAAGGCTGAAGTATGCCAAATTACACAAGAACTGAAAATCAGTGGCGATAGGTCTCATGGAGTGGTGAATCTAAATTTGAAATCTTTGGTTCAAATCATCATCAACATGTTCAGAGGAGGTCGAGAGAGAGAAAGAGGTACAACAGTGAGTGTCTGTAGTTATCCGCTTAGTGCTGCATTTCAGCCAGGTGTTGGAGGTCCTTTCAGAATTGATTGAAATTAATTAATTCAGACTTTGATCCACTACTGTAATACCATCCAGAAAACATCTGACTGGAACTTCATTTTTCAGTACGTCAACAATCCCAGACACACTGCCAATGTAGTAAAAGCATACTGGATAGAAAAACACACTGAGGAACACTACTGATCACGGACTGGCCACTTTAAAAACAAATGACAATTTATTATAAAAGCCAGAAAGGCAGAACTATTATCTTTATATTATTTATTTTGAGAAGTGTTCTGACATCTTTGTTTAATCTTCCCATTGCAGTAATAGTAGTTTGGCAGCAGATGCTGCTGCTGTTCCATTTAACAAGCTTTGAAGCGACTCAGTGGATATCATAGACAACAAGATTAATATTAATTAGCCATAGAACTTTCTATACACTATTTATTTAAATAACTAGCCTCTCTGTTCTCAACAAGTCAATGGATTTGACTCTTATTACTTGCATTTTTAAACAGCCTAGCGCTTTTTGTGTATCTGTGTGTATATTTCTGTTGTTATGTAACAATCTCAGAGACTGCACATGTAAATGAGTCATTTTGGGTTTGTTTGTTATTCTACCATTGTTATCTAGTTTCACCAATAATTGAAAAAAAAAAAATCCACAATTAAAACTGGAAATATATAATTAAATAAATCAATTTACTATAACTCTGCTGATTTTTCATAAATTTTGCTTAAACTTTGTTGCCAGAAATTTTTGTCTGCCATTGATGTTGCCATAAGACGGAGTCAGTGTGTGATTGAAAGAGGTGAAGTTGTCAATGACATGCAATCTGTTTCTGATAACTGTGACAAATTGTTGAAATTTGCTGTCTACATAGACAGCAAATTCACATTAGACTATTACATTTGAGCTCAGCAGCATTCCTGCTCTATAGGAAAAGTACAACTGGAGGTAAGTTGAGTCGTGCAAAGACTCATTGAGATTGATGGCAACATCTGTTTGCATTTATAAATGAATATTTACAAACCTTCATCGATCTCTGAGAGTGTTTGCAGTCAGTACCAGTCAGACTGCGAATATTTGCAGAAAGATTGTCTTGAGATCCAAAGCGGTCATGAGTGTGCAACACCATTAAACTGTGGGCAACCATTTAGCCACGACTTGCACAAGTTGCAATCCACCACAGACTGTGAAAAATTAAATGCAACCACCAGACAGCCACCGATTTTTAAAAAATTCATTTTAGCCGCTAGCTTGCTCTTAATTATTAGTAGATTCGTGTCGGATCTTTAATGGCTGACCCTGAAACAAAGGTTCATGGGACTTTCTGTGCAATCTTGTATGACTTGTATAACCCTATGCCAGATAGAGCTGGCTCCGTATGTTTTATGAAATATAAATAAATTTAAAAACAAACTAATAAGCAATTTTACGGTGGTGTCTTAATATATTGCTTTGTTGTTTCCACATTACCTGGTCTGCTTCCCTCTCTTCACTGTAGTCTTATCTCAAGCAGGGATTTTATTTTGAAATTGGGGACCGGAAGTTGTATAAATCTTTTCGCCTTTTTATTGACACTTTGACTGATTTTTAAAATATATATATATATGGGCTCTTCATACAGGTGTGCTTGGACATTTATTGTTGTTGTGATGATTATTTGGGGTTAGGCGGGGATCGTGCGTGTACTGCGTGGATGTTTGTCTGTTTGGCGTCACGGGGAAAGGAGCGCGCACAGCAGCGCAGCGGCGGCTTCGCTCTGCACTGAAAAACCGTGCAACTGGGGCATGCGTTCACTTTACACAGCGGACCAACAAGCTGGTGGAGACCGTGGCGGATTCACGAGAATACCGCGACGTGTCGATTTTCTGTAATAAACACCGGATTACTGGAGGTGGGTTCGGGGAAGATTTGGGGTGTTTAGCGATAAGGAAACGTAGAAATCACAAATGTGAAAAGGTGCGCTTTACCTCGGGCTTTTTTTTTTCTCTTTTCTTTCTTCCTCTTCCACCTTTGATAATCTGATTTTCGTCCGGATCCAGTGAAAATGCAGCCTGTACCTGGCAGATGTGTGGCACCACAGCTGCAGCCTACAGGTCTGTATCGCCGCTATTAATTCAAGCGTGTTTTTTTATGCCATAAATGAAAATTCAATATGAGGCTTAAGACAGACTGAGAATTGAATCAACAGAGGCAGTCTATGGCACTGACTGCATCTGAACAGCTTCTTATGCAAAAAAAAAAATAATGAAAAAAATGTCTGAGTGATATTCTGTCTGCTGTAATTATAGTAGCATCTGGCCTTTTGTGCTCTGCTCCTGAAACACTCACTTGATTAGAATTATTTTGTTGCCAACAAAACAACAACAACAAAAATCCCCAGACAAATTTCTTCACTACATTTTAAGTAAACAAAACGAATTGGCACAGGCCGGTTATCGTGCTACAGCACGGTGCAGGTTAGATTTGTGTCAGGTCCTCTAAAACAATGCCTGACTGCTTACTCAGAGGATAAATCACAGCTTTTGTTTGCCAGTGTGCCTGTGCACCTTGTCTTGTGTTTAGAGAGTATCTCCTGTCTACCTGCTGCAGATCTGCTGTGGTTGGCTGTGGAGGACTGAGATTGCTAAAGCTGCAAATCACATCATCAGCATCATCAGCATCAACATCTGCCACTTCAAACGCGACAAGACACAGGAGGACGCAGGCTGCTTTTTTCATGATCAAAGACGGAGAAGTCAGAAAGTACCTGTAGACGATGACTCCAGCGGAGCTGTTTGCTTGAAAGCAGCATGAGATAACTGGGGGCTGCCACGCTAATCGCTGATTCAAGCTTTTTTCCCGTTTGGCAATGATGAAAAAGCCCCTCTTTGTCAGCTGACTGACAGGGTCGCAGTGGTGCTCTAGCACAGGACGTTGCTAGCAGCTGAAGCGCAGACACCACAGAGGAGATGGCTCGTCCGGGATCCGGGTTGCTGGTGCCCGTAAATGGGCTGGGGTACCCCCCTCAGAACCTCGCCAGGGTGGTGGTCTGGGAATGGCTGAACGAACATGGACGCTGGAGGCCCTACACCGCAGCAGTTTGCCACCATATAGAAAACGTGCTGAAGGGGGATGCCCGGGGAAGTGTAGTTCTAGGACAGGTGGATGCTCAGCTCTCTCCTTACATCATCGACCTGCAGTCCATGCACCAGTTTCGACAAGACACAGGTAAGAGTGTGCACAGATGACACAGATGCCAGTGCCAAGGAAAGCACAGATAACACAAATTTAACCATAACAATGGACCCAATGTACTGTATACGTTACTGATAATTAATCAGGTATTTTAGGATGTCCTCATAGCAGATGATGTCATATTATTCAATCTGGGCCAAACCAGCTTTAATGCGCTTGGTACACAAACTCCACAGTCATTCCAAGAGAGCCCCGATTGCTTTGGGGCTCGTGTATATGAGCCACAGGTAGAGCCAAGAGGCACTGCCACAAGATGAATGTGAAGCATAGAGCCAATTAAAGTGTAGCAGTTACATATTGAGCCAGAAATGCCTTCATGCAGCTGTTGGGATGCCATGACCTTGCCAAAGGTCACCATGCTTTAGCAGTTGTGCATCCATCAGACAAATGAAATGCAGTTCAGTGTAAACCTCACTCTGTCTTGTTATTCATGTGTTAAACAGTTTGTAATTCAGCGAGTTACAGTATGTTGTTAGGATCTAAGTCATTTCTTATCCTGCTGCTACATGAGTTCAGTTTCTGTAACTTTTCACACCTACGTACAGAAAATGGAACAATCTGGTTGCACAGTTGATTAGACAATCGATACCCCGCCATGTTTGAACTACGGCGCGTGCAATCAAAAACTTTGTCCTCAATTTTGCATTTAATGCGAGCTCTGTGAGACAGCATGAGGCCAACATTATCTCGACTGAGGGATCGATCGCCTCTGGCCATAACGCGCTAACAGTAAATGCCCCCCCCCCTTCCTGTTACTACGTGTCGCTTTAGAGTAAAATCCAAGCCACCACAGCCTTTGTTTGGCTTGCAGTAATTCTCTCAGATGACTGCTACCTTTTAAAATAAGCCCAGATGCTTTTTTGTAATTCTCCACCAACGATCAACACTTTCTCTTTGTGAGGATTCCCGTCCTGCTTGTTCCAGTGTGTGTGTGTGAAGCAAAGGGGGGAGGAGGTTGTAGGCATCTGTTAAGAGCAGCCTTGGAGAAATCGCAGCTTTCTCAATTATTATTCTTCACAGTCAGCTGTGGTTGATTACAACTCTATTAGCCATTTATTGTGACATCTTTGTTAGGATGCTCTGAAACTCATTAAAAAAAAAAAAGTCTGACGACGAGAGCTTCCACTCTCTTAAGTTAGAGGCTGGAGTTGCTGTATTTGAAAGTGTTATGTAACACGAGAAGTGCAGGGACACTCTCGCAGGATGTACAGAAGGTAACTTCACTGTCCGCGGGTCTGCACCGTGTCACTTGTCATCAGTGTGCGTGATTCATCAGCATTAATGAATAGCTGCAGCGCCGTGAAGAATACAGATAGAATTGAACAGAGCTCAAATTCCTAAAAGGTCAGACCAATTTGCAAATGCATTAAGTAATAACCGTGTGAGTGTCTTTCAACAGATGGGTGTAGTTCAGGCTATAAATGCAGAGGAATATGGCAGTGGTCACAGTGGTCTGTGGTCTGCTTGCCCCTTTTAAACTAAATAGTAACAAAAAAAGTGCTTAGAAACCAGCAAGTAGATTGGGGTATCTAGAAAAATATGAATATTAGCATAATGTATCTTATAGTCAGTCAAACTTGGTACATCAGTATTTTTCTACTGTTCCGACATGCTCTGGTCGACTGTGCTGACTATGAGGACAACTCCATTTGTGAATGGCTGTCAGGTGGGTTGTAGTACAAGCAGCTGCCTGTTTTTCTGCCGTTCTCGTTGACGTGAACCCCCCCCTTTGATAAAACACAGAGCTGCACATGTGTCTGTGAGATGAACCACTGAGTCGTTTGTCAGCCATTACCACGACACGGGGGCTAGGCCTGACGTTTATCGCTCCTCACTGTGCTGTTCGCCGTGTTACCTTCCCCCTCGGCTGGGATAAACCTGTCACGGCAGAGGCTGATGGAGAGTAGGTCTGGATGCTCGGTGCCTCCTCCACTTTGTCCTCCTCTGCGCTCTCTTTTGCTGTCCTTCCACACGGGCACACCTCTGTCCTTCGTCGTCATCGATTCAAACTCCCATGAGGCCTAGCTTCCAGGCTGTTGCGATGTTGTTGTAGCGCCGCTTGCGTGGAGGGATCTCGGCAAGCTTGTTTTGCTATAACGTTGAGTGTGATGCATTTGTTTCACATCGGATGTTTGCTGTAGCTCAGCAGGTCACCCTCAGCCACTTGCTTTATTGCAGGCTTATGGAGTGTCCCTGTGGGGAAACCCCGTTTTGTCGCAGAGCCAGTGAGCTTGCCCTCTGAGGCTGTTTCCTTTTTTGCTAAGAGTTGTAAAAAAGGTTAAGTATGATTGATATCTACTGTTTGTGTTTCTGAATAAATGCTTGTGTTTTTGCATGTGAGTAATTGTTGCTTGTGTGATTGGTGCCTTCTGCCTGTTATGATGTTTGGGTCCCGTCCCTGCAGGCTGTGCAGGGCTGCCCTTTGCTCCCATGGGTTTGGGAGGATCTGTGGGTGGTAGCCAGGCCGAGTTACTCAAACTAATGAGACAGCAGCTATGTTTTATCTCCATGACTCTCTCTAATCAGAGTGCCATGACAAGAAAACACAGCCACCGCAAACGACGCGGCAGGGCCCGGTTATGGAGGGAGTAGCCTTAGAACATCTGCATTTAATTGGCACTCAAAAACATACAGGGCATGGATTTCATCTCAGTACAGTTGCTAGCAAAGAACAGCAGAGTTACTGGTGAAAAACACCAGTCTGTGGTGAAATCCCGACTAGCGCTGCTTTATGGATATAGTATAAGAGAAGCCTTAGAGGCTCATATAAGCATAGTGTGAATAGCTATCCAGCTGAAGGCAGGGGGAGAATTGACTCTCAGCCAAGAAGGATCGATCCGTTTTCCTCCCCAGAGGGGCATTTAAACCTCTAAACACTGCTGTGGACTGATCCCCTTTCACTACAGCCACCCCCACAGCAAAATACACGGGCTTATCTGGCATTTCTATCATATACCAACACTTGTGGCCTGTCTGATGGATTTCACACTGCAGCCACTGCTTGGATTTTAAGCACTTTTTCTTTTTATATGTATCAAGATCATATGTAGGTGACATAACCCAGAAACCCTCATCATCACCATTTGTGCTCTATCCCTCGACCTCATTTAGCAACAAACATTCACACTTATTAAGTATGCATCCAAAATTCTGTAACACCATAAAGAGACAGTCACTTAAATCAGTTCTTCTCCGCTGAGTGCGAAGAACAATGAAAATGTAAATATTTCAATTCACATTTGTCAATCTAATATTGATGTGATTTGTATTGAAGATTGTTCGGCTTAATTTAGACTCTGATTGTTGTGAATGTGCGATATGGATTCCAGCGTTTGTGTGACCTGGAAGAGTGTTAAGGTTTAGCTAACAGTGCGCCACCATGACCGTGGCTGGACTTGTGCACGTCTGGTCAGCTTTACTTTTCAGGATGTTTGTTCAGATGTTAAATACAGCAGCATTAAAAAAAACTCACTGTTTCAAAACATGCTTTATAGCAAGAAACAAGTGTGATGTAACAGCAAATGTTATGATAACAAAATGAAGTTAAAATACAGCGTTAGCAAGTTCCGAGCTCTGATTGTACCTAGCTTAGAGGATATTGTTGATGCTAACTGTGTGCCACTTATGGAAGACATTGCTAAATAAATCAACAGATATCATTAATGTTATTTACAACTGACAGAATCAATACTTTAAAAAAATGAGCATTTTACAACAAAATGTGGATTTTCTTCTGAGGATGAAATAATGTGTCATTTATACGCAATAGGGGAGGTTCAGGCTATTTGTCTTTGTTACATCTACCCTTCAGTAAACGAGGTAAGACATGTTATGTTGTTATTTTGTATTCTTGGGCTCTACAGCTGAGGTCCATCATGATCGATTTCTCTGGAAGCGATCACCCAGATTGGGTAGAAACTCAAGATCGGAACCTTTTTCCACATCTTTATATTTAAACATAATGCTACAAATCCATAACAAAAATCCAGTGGTTAAATATATGGTAAAAATTTGTTATGGTGTTCATAAATATTTAAGAGAAGCCACTCCCCTATCTCAGTTTGTCTGGTACGGGGTAGTCAGTCAGCAGCTACCTGGAAGAGCAGATTGTGTTTTTATGTTTGGATGCATTATGGATTTTTATGAAAATAAAAAAAAAATTGCAAGATGTACTGACTGTGATGGGAAATGAAACCAGTTTATCCAGATCCCAAGTCCTGCCTTCTTGGTTTATATTCAGAAACATATAAATATAGTAAGAATGAAAGGACACTAATGGACCTCAGTCTGCAAATTACAAGAAGAAAACAATTGGCAAAACAAATGCTATCAATGTACCGCTGGAAAAGAAGAAATTACTTAAGGGAGGGCAAGTTCAAATACATATGGGATCCATTTATGGTCCACAAACACAGACACTGATGTATGTGAATGAAAGGAAAAGGGTTTTTTATGTGTGTTGTATTCTGTTCTGTTTTATATTCAAAGGGGCTATAAAGGCTGGTTTATAATAAGTTTCCTGTGAGTTAGTTTTGTGATCACTGATCTGACGTAAGTAATTGTTGAACTTTGCTGTAATTATATACATTGTTTTTTTATTAAAAATATGAAAACAGTGTGAGGTTGATGGACTAGATGAAGCTTTGGCATGTAATTATTATATATGTAATGATAAAAACACTGTAAAAAACACATTTCTATAGTAGTGAAAAAAACAAGAAGGTTTCTGTTATTTAAATGTTTATCTGTTGCATGGGGGAAGGTCTTCATCAATAAGAAAAGCTGTAAAACCTGGCGAAATACAGTTAAAATACACACATTCACATTTTCCAAAGCTGTCGAGTGGGGCCATATTGAAGTCTCTGTTGGGCCCGCGAGCCTTATGTTTGACACCCTTTCTTTAATAGGTCCTGATGTTGATATTTTCTCACAAAGTTGAGGAAATGCACAAATACAATAAATCAATTTGAACT